ACCCTTCCTTCACACTTACGACTTTCTTTTGTTTAACTCAAAAACAGATTACACCAGCATGGACCACACCACACTTTAAGCTAGAACTTATTGTAGGGATGAAAAGAGGTGGTAAGGGAACAGTGGGATAAAGGGGAACGGAAGTAAAGAGGATAAATAGTGAACAGGTAGGTAGGTTGATCGGGAGTCCTACGATGACGGCCAAAGACTACAGTCTCTTTAATATTTTGGTCAAGCGATTAGGACTCCCAGATTCAACCTAGGAGGGAAGAGAGGGTTATAAGGATTGTTAATGGAAAGCACGGAAATAGAAAGAGGGATGGTGGGTTCGAGAGAATGAGAAGAACAGTGCTAGAAAGCTGGTCTGCCCTAATTCAGTTTTAGGAAGTAGTTGATTGGTTAAGGAGGCAAAGTAAGGAATGGTCCCTCTGCCAAACATTTATTAATAAGTTAACTCCGTATTTTGAAAAAATTTGGGAAACTGTAATCATTGACCCTAAAATTTGTTCTTAATGCAAGTAAATAATTACCAGTTTTCAGCTTTCTTCAAAATATCTTCTTTTTTGGAAACTCATAAAGGTGTGGAAGCACTTGAGGGTTAGTCAGTTTTGAGTGAATTTCATTTTTGGGCTAACTGTCCCTTTAAGATAGTAATGGCAGGTTACCGTACTTTAAGGTGTGATATCTTGATTTGGTGGTCAAGAAACTAATTATTATCAGTGCTAAACACAGATTTATGGCTTACTTTTTGGTGTGAAAACTTTTTTCAGCATTCTTGTATAAATAAAATATATAAATAAAATTTGTAAAAATTAAAAATTTTATTTTGTTGTCACTTTTTGCATCAATTTAATGCATTCTTGTTGAATAAAAGTATTAGAAAAAACACTGCCAACAAACATTTGAATAATGATGCAAATTGGCTATTTTAAAAAATAATATGTGTAATTTTATAGTGAAATTTAAACATTCCATCATGACGTCACATTATTATTTTTAATTGGTACAGTAAAATATCATAATTAAAAATAGTTACCGAAATGCTTGTAATATGGTCACTGTATTTTTACAGTAAAGTCCTGCCAGATCAATATTTTCCATCAATGTTAATTAATAATATTGTTCTAATGATAAATTAATGAACATACATGTATATTAAAAATAATTCATCATCTCTCTACAGATATGTGACAGCATATTAACCTCTGGATGGTCTTGATCACGCACATAACCTGCTTTAATCGTTCACCCTCATCTGGACACTGAAAGAATCGCGTCTTTATAAATAAAGGCTCAGCCATGAAATTGTAGGTAACAATTTACAAATAAAATTGTCACAGCCTACAGTATCTATAAATATATACGTACTGCAATTTTAAAGCATTTTCCGGTTGGTATTTTATGTTCAAGTCAGGTGTGCACTTTAACAGATTTAAGGATGTATGTGCTGATAAAGTTGAATGAATGTGTTTTTCTCCTGTTAATCTTATAGCATATCTAGTCTTCAAGAATAATTAATACAAAGTTCAATGAAATAATAGTCATGCAAGCCAGTGTCTGACAGCTCCGATTACAACACAAACATACAACTTCACAAACAGATAATATAATAGTGCAACAACTGAAGCCGACAAGTGATTATCATCAATTTCTCTACAGCAGCAAGTTAATTACAAAAACGCCATCCTCTTTTACTTTAATGTGATTAAGGCGCAAATAAAAGCGCGCGCCGGTACGAAACACCTGCGCTCGGGAGCGCGACTGCAGTGACAGATGAGAGAGAGGTGCTCACCTTTAACGAACATGAAAATTAAATCCAGGCAAATTGTTGCTTCGCTGCTTGTCATCAGACACAGAGCACTGGGCAGAAATATGCTCCATACAGAGAGTCGAGCTCCATCCTCAACCCGCTGTGCAGATGAGTGAAAGTAAAGTACAGCGCGTTCATGTGGCGCGCGGGTCCCTCCCCTTCACGCGCTTCACTCTTTCGGCGGGTACGCGGACTTTGAGGGGAGGAACTACAGGTAAAGCAACTCGTTAGTTACTAATTAAATAATGTGCAATGCATGTACACACAAAATAGCGTTTTGTAATGTATTGTACGCTTTAAGTGTTTCAATTACGCACCATGATATTAAATATCCTTGCTAAAATTATAAATTTAAACAAACGATGGTTGTCGGTCGGTGTTCAGATCCAACTGGCTGGATTTCCAGGTTGATTGGTTAACTTAGTTAAAAACGAATAAACTAGATCACCGAATCAGACTAAAAGTTGGTTTTATACCCAAACTAGCATGTAAACAATCGTGCATCCTATAAAGCTTTTAAGATAACTCGCCATAATGTTACCATCCAAAATGGTGTGATCTTTGTGCTAGTCAAGTTTTAGATAAACATTAGAGGTGGTCAATCAGTAAGTAGGTCTTACTATAGATTGTGAACCATACTAACTTATAGTAAAGTACTTGAAATAATATTTTGTGGTAATTATAAAACTGCTATGGTAATAGCCTACAACTAACTTATAGTAACCAACTGTGCTAGCATTTCTGCAACTAGTATTATTACTGTATAGTACACAGTAAACCAGAGTTTACTGTAAAGTTAGTGAAAACTAAGTGTATTTTGTTCACTGTTACGTTAGTCAATAATACTGTACGTTAACTTAGCCTATGCTAATTTAGTAATACACATACACTTTACTATAGCAGCCGGTTAAAACACTAGGCTAAATGTACATTACTATAACTGCCTATTTTTTTCGTTCATAAATTATGGGTCCTGCTGTAAAATATGTACTTTATAGGAAATATATAACATAAAATGTCGTTCAAAACTGCCAATAAACCAAAACAATAACGGATGTCTTACCTGAGGTAAACGTGATTTTCAACGGCGTGTTCAGACATTTGTTGACGGTAACTTTGCAAGCAGCGACATCTTGTGTTAGCTTTGGGGGAAATGGTTCAGCTTCCTAAAGACAAATGAGCATTACATAAATATCAATAAACGTTCATATTAGGGTTGTACGAGAACATCTGACATCGCGATATATATATATTTTTCTTTTTGATTAGCTAGCCTATATTTTAGAGTAAAAAAATCATAAATTTAGATTAACCGTGAATCATGTATAAAAATAATGAACAAATTGCAAGAATAGTTAAAACGGAGTAGAGAAAAAAAGTTAAATAAATAGTTATGGTATAATAGTCTTTGTCTTTTCCAGAGAGTCAAACAGTATTCAGGTACAGAAATTGAATAATGAAATGTAAAAACGCTGTATAGTATAGTCATTGTATCAAATAATTTACTACATGTGTTCTTCATTAAAGTAACACACGTTATAGTGCCCGAATGCTTCACACCCACCTGATATGCCTTTAAGTCACATGCAAATGATTAATTTTTGCAATGACTTCAAAAAAATCTCATGTATCCTCAATTGTTGATCAAATATAATCTTAACTTACCATTGCATATCCTGCGATGTGACTACTGAGAATACGGACATTGCAATATTAATGCTAAAATGATATATTGTGCAGCCCTAGTTCATTTATTTGTATATTAATCTACAGAAGAAACTAACTCTTCCAATATTTTAATATAGAAGTCTTTAGTCATGTGACTGACCCAAATAACCACACTGAGTAGATTGAATATTATAGAATTCACAGGTTTTTTTTTTTACTTTGAAGAGAAAGTTGCATTAAGTATACTTACTATATAATTTACTCACTATCAAACCATTGAAGATGTAAATGATTATATTTTTCTTTAACAGATCATTTAAAAAGATTTTAAAATGAAATTGAGGTCCTTGAAATTTCATAAATTGGAAGTCAGTGGCTGTTGGCATTTTAAAGGTGAAAACAACATAGAGGCTAAATAAAACTCATGCTCGTAGTAGCTAACAATGCATCCTGGAATGTTTGCCATAGGTAAAAACGATAGATAATGCTGTAAATAGACTAAAGGTAATAACAGAATGCTTCGTGAACAGACTGATTTGCATAAGACCTCTGCATCAATTAGTTCAGCATTGCTATATAGGCATTTCATAACTTGGCATTTCATTAAAAAACAAAAATCTTCTTTAATATAATAATGCATTTTATTTAAAGGCGCCTTTCTTGACACTTAAGATCCTCGTACAAGACAAGAACAGTCAGTTCAAATAAAAACACAATAGAAAAGTCAATAGAATACAATTTTAAAAAGTGCAGTTGAGTTAAAGAGAGTAGGCTGTTCTAAACAGATGTGTTTAAATTTAGATTTAAATTGTTAAATTGTGTTTAGATTACGGAGATAACGAGGAAGCAAATTCCAAAGCTGAGGAGCTGAGTGGCTGAAGGCTCTGCTCCCAATGGTGACAAAGCGGACATAGGGAACAGTGAGGTTAATTGAAGAAAAGGAGTGTCTGAGAAGGTGTGGCGATATGAACAAGACTATTAAGGTATGGAGAATTGTGGATGGCTTTAAAAGTGAGAAGTATTTTATAATTAATTCTGAAAGATGGGAAGCCGGGCTTCATGGTGCTGCAGTGGCTCGATCACCTCACAGCAAGGTCTCTGGTTCGAGCCTCAGCTGAGTCAGTTGGCCTTTCTGTGTAGAGTTTGCATGTTCTCCCTGTGTTTGCATGGGTTTCCTCCGGGTGCTCCGGTTTCCCCCACAGTCCAAAGACATGTGGTATACTGTAGGTAAATTGGATAAATTTAACGGTCCGCAGTGTGTGTGTGAATGGGTGTGTATGGATGTTTCCCAGTGATGGGTTGCAGCTGGAAGGGCATCCGCTGCGTAATTTGCTGTTTGTGGAAAATATAACCAAGTAATAAAAAGATGATAAAAAGCAGGGAACCCAGAACTGAACACCTTTAATGCTCTACTGTAGAGAAAAGGCCTTAAGGGTGGCCAAACTTGCTGATTTTTGGTTAAATGACCCCTTTATCATCAAGCATGTTTCCAAACAGGGCACACATAAAACCAGGAGTCTGATTCTCTTAAGCCCATGATCTATTTATTGCTTAAATTGAATGGAGAGATGGTTTCATATACAGTGCTGTAAAATGTTCCATGTGACTTTTAAAAGGTAGAAACAATGCTGGTATTCAAACTATGTCAATTTTGTCAAATGTCTTTGCTTTTTAAAAATATAAAAATCCTTGGCAACTTAACAAGACACTCGATTCAAATCTTCAGAAGGAGAAAGTGGCTACTGTACTATAAGTTTACTGTTCAGTTTATCTAGATTGTAAAATATACACAACGCTCAATTAACAGAAAGCAGCAGTCAAGTCGTAAAGCACAGGAGGGTTAAAGCGTAAGGCAGATTAGTGTCTTGGAAAACTTGCAGTCCGTTTAATTCCTCGGGCATCTAAACAAACACATCAGGGCCTAAACGCACAAACCTCGCAATAAAAAAAGAAGACCTGTAAGACATGCATTCAGTTTAACACTTCATATTCATAGCATCAGCACGCTATCTTACACACAATCTGGGCTCACATGGAACAAGATCAAGCACAGAAGAAAATATACAACATTTCGAGTTCCACACAATATAAAAATGATAGATTGATTCAATAAAAACAAACAATTGTATGACTGTACAGCGAAACATGATCATCACAGGGCCAAAACAATGCTGTCCTGCTTTCGCCACATTCATTTCTTCAGCTCAATAAACATTTTTACAGTATAACTGACTTAAGGACGACGTGTGTATGTGTGTATGTGTGTGTGTGTGTGTGTGTGTGTATGTATTCAGTGTAATATTTACCTGTCCCCAGGGGCAGGTTTTGTGATTGGAGGCCCCAAACAATTCGAGCCATGGGGCCCAACAGTCCGTAAATGCACAATATGTACTTTTATTTGTTTATTTTTAATATACTTTTCACTCAATTTAATTTTCTACCTTTTAATCGCAATGCAATCGCTATATATTTAAATTATTTGCTTCCTTAAACTGAATTCAGAACTTAAAAAATAATAAAGAAATGTATTTATTATGTCTAAATGTCTAAGGAATGTTGTTTTTAAAACTAAATATTTACCTGATTTGACTGCTGGACTGCTCCATGAGAGAGATGTGGGGGACAACTTTGCGCAGATGGAATAATCAATGTAATAATTATGTCAAAATATCTATCTCTATATCTAAATCTATCGTTGTTAGACCCTCACCATACAAAATATAACAAAAAACGATGTCATATAATTTATGGGTATAATTTATATTTCTAGGTATTTATTGAGGGCCCCCAGATTTACTGGCGCCCCAAGCGGCTGATTACCTCGCTTATTGGTTAATATACCACTGCCTGTCCCAAGTGTTAAAAAATATATATAATTTTCTTATCCTCTTAAATCAACATTATATTCAAATTCCTGCGCTGAAAAGCAGACAATAGTAAATTGATATTTTCAACATGATCAAACCCTGATTTTCTCCAAAATATATTACTTCAGGCATGCATATAAAAGTATTTCAAAGATCAGAAAAGTAGTACTCTATAATGGAGTACAGTGCATATTTTTGTACTCGTTAATGCTTAAGAGTTTATGTCCGAAATAGCACAGAACACACACAAAAACAGTGATAACTTCACTTGTGACATGACATGATAACTTCATTTGTGTACAGTAAAAATATGGTCAAGGATTCCATGTTAAAATACTACCTGTGAAATTAAGACTTATGTAATACAAAGGCAAAACGTTTAGGCACAATATAAAACTGGACAAAAAAAGCCAGAATAAAACTGACTGAAATGGAATTATTAAGACTTTTTCGTTTTTTGCTTTGGGTAAAAATAATTCATATTTATAAAAAATTGTTTGCTTTTGGATTTGAATGCTGGTGAAAACGCTACCAGGCCTCAAGCAGATTCTGCTCCATTAGCATTAAGTTTCTCAATCTCTGGTTGTCTTGGTGTTGCGTCTGCTGGTAGATTGTTTCTCTTAAGGCACGGAATACCATGCAGTTTCACAAAGTAAGCAGCTTCTGCAAAGAAGGCTATCGTGGACATGAAGCCAAATGCCTGAAATACAGAAAAGACAGTTGAATGTTAGCTAACAGTAGCAGCATTGGCTATATTCATGGCTACATCAGTAATAAATATTTATTTTATGAGTTACTATCACAATGGTTTCTTAACAAACATGCATTACACAAAAAATACAGGTAACAACACTGATAAAAAGTCATATAAGATCCTTTAGTTTGATCAATGATATTGAAAAATTCCTTATTAAAATATCATTTAAAATATACATTCTATTAAAATATTAATACATTTTGTTTATATCATTCTTAACTAACACTACTAGCTTAATAATTATCTGCTTATTAATAGTTAGTAAGGTAGAAGTTAGGTTAAGGATTTGGATAGGATTGGGGATGCAGAATAAAATCATACTTTATCACTACTAATAAATAATTAATAACGTAACAATGACGTAATAAGCCAGTAGTTTATAGCATGAATTGTGTCAAATGCAAGTGTAACCAAATATTCTTACACAAGTCACAAAGAGGTTTCTTTTCCCCTTTAAATAAATAGAAGTGTGGAAGTTTTATGACAAACTGTTAACAAGAAGTGTTGTCATATCAGCTAAAATACAAATTAACCACAATCATGTTTAACTTATCATAAAACTGAAACAGAAAAAATTGTAAAACAAAAAAAAACAGAAACAAAATCAAGTATGCACATACAACTACAACATATATGTACCATATCTATCTATCTATCTATCTATCTATCTATCTATCTATCTATCTATCTATCTATCTATCTATCTATCTATCTATCTATCTATCTATCTATCTATCTATCTATCTATCTATCTATCTATCTGAAGAGTTCAGATGCAAAAGCCTCTAAACACCACTTCCGCCAAAAATGACATCATGACATTGAGCGAATGCTTTAGGCACGTAGTACATGTTCACCAAATAGATTTGCTTCTAATCATCCAAATTCCAGCATCGGCACATTCAGAAATAACAGTTTGTTGGCAAAAGCCACTAAACGCCACTTGTCTTTGACAGCAAAAGCTGCTATATCCCAAGAACTAATCAGAAGGCGCGAATTGAATCATGTTTTCAGTGTAGAAGCGCGCTGATACGCCGGCTTTATGAAGAGTTTTTTTATGAAGAGTATGAAGAGAGAGAGAAGTTTTTTTACATTTAAAAAGTACATATTACTGTATGTTTTTTATTTCAAAAATTAAAGTGGCAATTAAATTATGAAAATTAAAAACAACAATAAAACAGGTTAAGATGGTTAGCAATAACACTAAAATATAACATTATCATACCACTGCACCCTGCTCCAAGCCCGTCCGACCATTGCCTGCTGCAAACACAATGCTGGCAATGAGGAACATGACTGCCATGCCTGATGTGTATGTAAAATCCTATGGGGGAAAACAGGTTCAGCATTATATTATAGCTTTCTATAACCATTTTGATTCAAACTCAATTCATAACACACACACACACACACGCACACACATATATACATATGCATACATACACAGTTGAAGTCAGAATTATTAGCCCCCATAAATTACTAGCCCCTCTGTTTATTTTATCTCCAATTTCTGTTTAACAGAAAAATTCTCTCAACACATTTCTAAACAGTAGTTTTACCAACTCATTTTCTAAATTTCTGCTAACTGATTTCTTTTATCTTTGCCATGATGACAGTACATAATGTTTTACTAGATGTTTTTCAAGACACTTCTATACAGTCTAAAGTGATATTTAAAGGCTTAACTGGGTTAATTAGGCAAGTTATTGTATAACGATGGTTTGCTCTGTAGACTATCAAAAAAATATATAGCTTAAAGGGGCTAAAATTTTGAGCTTGAAATGTTTTTTTTTTTTAATTTAAATGGCTTTTATTCTAGCCGAAATAAAACAATAAAGACTGAAATTTCCTTTCTCTGTTCAACATCATTTGGGAAATATTTAAAAGGGGGCTAATATTTCTGACTTCAACCATATATACATATACATTTTTATATACATATACATACATTTTATATACAATTTGTATTACATATTTGTTTAAATATATACATTTAAATACTCTTTTTAGAGTAAAACAGATTTGACTTGGTAATAACATATAATAATAGTAATAGTAGTAGTTTTACGAACAATATGCATTTATTTCATCTATTCAATTTCTTTCAGTTTAGTCCCTTTATCAACCAACTTATCCAGCATATGTTTTACACAGCAGATGTCCTTCCAGCTGCAACCCAGTACTGGGATACATCCATTCACACAAATACACTACAAGCTATTTAGTTTGTTATATGCATTAATTTATTTTTTGTAATTTTTACTCTTTTACTTACCAGTGTAGGCCAGCACTTAATTCCGACTCTCTGGTGGAGACTTGTTGCCAGAAGGATGAGGAGCAGAAGTGTGAAGAGGAAGGCTGTGCAACTCACAAACTCAAAGAAGTAAAGCGGTCCACAAGACGCACAGTGGGACACGACCTCCTCCATCACGAAAGCCACAAACGACAGCAGCTGAGGGGACACAAATGAAATGTAAGTGCATCAAGTAGCCACCAGTAGGCAGCAGCAGATTATTTACTTGGGGTAACTCAAGGTAAATGGAAAGGTTTGGTCAAATTGCTCTCAAAATTAAAACAATTGTCTTTAACCTGATGGAAGCTACTTTAACACATGGCACTGTAGGCAGATTCACTGATTTGTTTTTGTTTTGTTTTATTTTTGAGCTTTTCATAAAGAAACATCTAAAATACTTTTTTGTTTTGCTTGTTTTCTTGTCACACTTAGTATATGCCTCGATTTCAATTATGACAATTTTTTTAAGAGGCTGTTCTCTCAAAATGAACTTTTTGTCCTGCACTAAGCCATAAACCTCAAATTCAGTAGCGCTTAAAACTACACAGCTTTATTCAAAAATAAACAAGTTTATAAAAAAAAATTCTGATCATATACAATTTTTTTTCTGAATGTTTGCATTATATTTTGAATAATGTAGTGATTAAACAAGACTCCCAAAATCCCCTTTGTTAAAACTCTTCGCTCTAATTTGTCAAAAAATAAATAGATTATTTTGAACCCGACTCATCCAGTGTTTATGTTATGGGCTATGACAGGGTCTTTGCAGATATCATAATGTCAAATTTAAGACCTTTTTAAGACCATTAAGTATTAAATTTAAGACCTATATCGCAACATCAAAAATACGCGAGAGAAAATGAAAAAGCACAAAATTAGGGGTAAAGTTATTTAAATTGAACAGTACTAAAGTCAGGTTAAATGCACTATTGAACTACAGAAAAAACAAACATCTTAATGCAGATTTATACTTTCACCTGGCACTGCATCGCACAACCCACGAAACGGATTAAGGCCTTTATACTTGACACGTTCACCATTGAGATTTTTTTTTTTTTTTTAAATGACAGGGGGCGGTCCAAAAAAACGGACAGTAAAATCAGACGAATAAAAACATTGTCATTTTTCTTCGAAGATGTTTTAGGGCCTCTTTTTTGTTGTTTTAACAAACTTATCTCTCAGGTTTTTCCAAAGTTTTACAAAAACTTTCCTCCTTTCCCATGGCTGTTGCAATTTCTAGCCAATAATTTTTGGTCATTCTGGCAAGCAGAAATGTAACTGTGATAGAAAATAAGTAAAAACGTGATTAGGTATTATAGCTTACTGTACTATTCACTCTTCAAATAAATCCAACTGTCAATCCCATTTTATCACTAAAATAAAGTGAACTAGTGTCTGCTGTCTAGTGTTTTGTGAAGTACAGTAAAGTACTTCAATTACTCTGTTGTGGAAATACTGCTATGGTAACACAACAAGTGTATTAAAAACAAACTACCCAGTGCTTTCGTTTTTTTTTTTTTACAATACAGGGTATATTTTTCTACAATTCAACACACTTTACTGTAGTAAAACTACATTGTATTTCATTTTATCAGTTCACTATTCTTAGTTGTAATACCGCAAATTACAATTGGACTAGTGAAATAAAGAACTACAACACCCCAAACACCAAGCAACAACAACAAAAAGAATTTAAATGAGCATTAGACGTAGCGTTACATGGACATCGCAAAAATAAGACCTGAGCAAAAATATTTAAGACCTAGAAAATTTAAGACTTTTTAAAGCCATAAATTTAGATTTTTTAATTTAAGACTTTTAATACTTTTTAAGACCCTGCAGGGACCCTGTATGAATGTGACATGCAAATTCTTCAATGCCTTATTTGCCTATTTAAAAGTAATATTTTAGTAAACTTGTAATGCAAAAAAATGCTTGCAATTCCTAAATGTAATGAATCAAATATGTAAGTATGGTCATAATAAATATTAGTTATTTTTTGCCCGATTTACTTAATCTTGCCTTCAGGCATATGCTGCTAATATATCATTTGAAACGGAGTGGAAAATACAGCAGGTGAGATTTAAAACACAGTACCAGGAAGGGAATTCCCAAAGATGCGAATAATAAAATTTATCAAGGACATTCATGCTGGGGGAAAAACATTCACACCCAAGCAGAATTGTTTATATTTCCTTTGCACTAACAGAATTGAAGTGTTAATCAATCATCTAGCAAACTAGGCTTTAGTCACATGAACACTGTTAAATAACTTCTAGTACAATAGGAAATGCCAGTTACAGTTCCAGGAAAATCTTAAGTGAAATGAAACTAAAAACAAAATGACACTGTAAATGACGCAGGTCATGTTGTGAAGTGACTCTAATGTGCTATAGGTCGTTTTCACATGACGTCATTGATGATGTGCGAAATTCAGATGCAGAGCAGGAAGTGGTTCTTTTACATAGGAATCGCTATCAGAACATCACAATGTTTCTCTTTTATGTTCTTTACAATTCTTTAAATCGGCCAAAATAAGAAATGACGAAAATCTTTTTTAGACCGTTTTTACTCATAAAGAGGAGAAAGTTCAAGAAACTGGCTGAAAAACTGCAGAAAAAGCGGCATGTAATAAACATTTATTCAATACATCCATGTGTACATACTTTTTTTTTTTTAACGCAATTTATCTGACAGCACCAATAAAGATCACGAGTAGAGTCTAAGATAAATGTCCAAGCTCATTCTGGTCTATCTATTTCTATCTTATTTTGCTATTAAATCGAGACACAGATGGCAAAAAAAATTGTAATGCCCTTCAGAACTTCACTTTTCATAAAGTGTTTTTCTCAGTTTGAAGCCGCGGTCACACCACCCATTCATATGCACATGAATGCGTCAGACTGAAAACGCAAGCTCGTGCGACAAGTTTCACAGTTTGCTGTGGTGCAAAGTTCAAGCTTGGTGAACTATAAAATCACATCACGTGACTGCATAAGATCAATTGAAGATCAAAAGATCACCTCTCTGTACAGAATTTAAAATATGGACCGATTCCTCACTTTTTAAAATGTCTAATCATCTTGTTTAATCCCACCCCTTTTCACAGCGCCGTACAACAGAATTCCGCATGCTCAAACTCAAATGTGACCGCAGCATGATGCAACACCAATGTGGTAAACACTGGTCCATCTGCTGATTACAGAGCTGGCTTTACTGCCAAAATGTGCAAGAAAATGACCTTCCATTAATCACCCAGCTTTAAAGTGCTACTTGTGTCGCACTATATGTGTCTGTAGATTTCATTTACAATACACATTTTAAAAGCAAATCTTAAATTTAGCAGCAGTTACACGCACCAACTTTTACAGTTTCATTCATATCTATATTCTGTATTTTTTTATACATTGCAGTACTTTCTGAATTATGGAGTGATAAAAGAGATATTAAAGTAATTCCCTCAGTTATAAAAATGAACAACATAAAAATCGATCAATGTGGTAAACTGGAACTAAAGTTGAGCAATTTTTATTTAAATAAACAATGCCCTACTTGCATATTTAAACAACATTTTAGACAACTTGGCGAACAAAAAAAATCTTTGCAACTCAGTGTGTTGTTAAAGTGTCAGCGTGGAATAGTTCAGCCAAAACTACCTCATTGTTTACTCTTCTCATGTTATTTTATGAGTTTCTTTCTTCTTTTGAGCACATGTTGCTATGAAATATCAGTCTTGTTTTGCAATAATCCATGTCTACACTGGTGTTTTGGCGGAATACACAGCTATATGCACAGCAGCGCTGAATGTTTGTTTGATGTTAAGTTCATCGACAGAACAAAAAAGAAATGCTACCCTTGCGACAAAACTATATTATTATTGGGGAGCACTTTTCCCCCTTACAAAAATAAATGAATAATAATGTACAGTTTGCATTAGGCTTGGGCGGTATCCAAATTTTGATACCGTCAAACCGCCTCCATATTTTATATTTTACCCCGGTATCCGGTATTACCGTCGTAATAAAAAAAATTATGACGTAAGGCTCAGACAGCGTCACCAAACTGTTGGCTTAAGCCTAAACAATTCAGAAACTAAATACATTCTATGCGACCTTAGGCTCGCGGTCAGAGAGAGAGAGAGAGAGAGAGAGAGAGAGAGAGAGAGAGAGAGAGAGCACAGCACAGTACGTGTCCTCATGCCACCATATGAGAGAAAAAGGCTGAACCCCCTCATCCCTTATTAAAGCTCTCTGTCCTTACCATTTATTATTATATACTTTTGTTAATCTTTTTTTTTTATTAACTAGTTTATTGTGACAACATATATGTATAATATAACGATATGTATATGTGTTTGTTTATTATTACTTATATTTCTTTTATCTATATGAATGTTCTGTATTTTGTTATTGCTTTGGCAACATTGTGATTTGTTTTACAGTCATGCCAATAAAGCTCTTTGAATTTGAATTTGAGAGAGAGAGAGAGAGAGAGAGAGAGAGAGCGCGCAAAGCGACGCACAGCACCTCTCTCTGTCTCTCTCTCTCTCTTTTACACATGCACACACACACATCTCTCCCGCGATTTATTCAGAAATTTACTCCCACACCATAAGAAATCTGGCCGGCTCCCGCGGAACAGCAGCGGGAATGCAGAGCTGTAATCGGGCAATAAAAATTATACCCGATAGGTCCCGAGTCCGACAGGTACATTTTGATTGACAGCTTTATACAGCGCGAACCCGTTCACAGCCCGACATTAAAATGTGCTCATGCACACAGCTCTAATGCATTTTTTTCAAGAATGAGTCATTTCTATGATTTAACATCCTTTATTCGTAACAAGCGTAGACTATAGGCCACTTAGAAGTTGGAACAAAGAAATAAAATAAGTCCTACAGCTGTAACATCGTAACATCTTAGCACTCTATAGGTCTAGGTACATGCACTTAGCCTTTAAATTAGCCTACACACCAATGAAAAGAAATCTTGCTTAACAAATCAAATTAAAATAAACTCTAAATGATGACGGGTATTTTGGCAATAACGAAATTAAGATAAAGGCTCTGCAAGGTTTGTTTCTCCACTTCTCTTTACAATCTGGCATTAAGGCGGCGGTGAAGCTGAATATTAAAAGAATAATGCCACCATTAGCCTGTA